ACATCTCCACGCCTCTTTCGACGTTACACGATCGGCGATCGCGACGTAGCGACAGACTCGCCGTTATCACCCCAACAATATCGATATTTCATATACTGTATATGTTATGCAAAAAAATTTGTTGTTGACAACAGTTCCACTGTAATAATACTAAGATAAGATAAAATAATTTTTTATTTAAACCTTTGAGTATGACTATTTATGTAAAAAAAACGCAAATTATGCAATTAATTGAAAGAATTGGGTCATATTTATAGTCAATATGGATAACATTAAAATAATATTCAGAGATCGAAGTGTACTGATATTGAGATTAAGACTAAGAGCTTAATTAAGTCAATACAGTATTTATGAAAACCATAATAATAATGTATAGTGATACTTGGTAAATAACTTTAATACTTTATATATTTATAAATATTTTAAAAAGCAATTCAAATATTTTTGAATTTTAATTTTACACATTGCAATATACAATACAAATACTTTTCAGAAAGTTAATTTTGTTTTTAATTTATTAATTTTAGCATATATTATAATTATATTTTAAAAATAAAATATATATTAATTACTTGTACAAAAAGTAATTATTATTAGTAAATAATAATTTTATATTACATTATTATGATTTAGTAAGAATATAAATAATATAAAATGTCAATATAGCTTGATTTACTATATGTTTATACAAATATTAAAATTATTGCTTCTAATATATAATATATTATATGTTCAATATTAATTATTTAAACAATAATTTATAATATATTAAATAATCTCAAAAAATAATTTAATTTAACAATATAGTTTATTATATTTAAAATTTTTTTTTGCAATTCATATAATCTCTTAATTAAATATTGATTATAAATATTATTATAATATTAATAACTTTTTTATTTAATAAAATCAAATATAAAAAAATAGTGCTTTTAAACAATTGTTAATATAACAAAAATATATATATTATAATAGATTATAATATAATACTAGTATTACTATATAATCAAATCTCTTTCCTGTTTATATCACTTTTAAAAAAAACAATAAAAAGTTAAATTTATTTTTAAAAATAAATATTAAAACATGATAACAATATCTATAGAGATAAGTTTTTTCTATAAATCAATTTTTAAATATTCTGAATCAACAAATCAGCTTGCTTTAATACAAAAATTTATTTAAAATAGATGGGAAGAGATTCTTTAATATGCTTTAATAACTTTAAATAACAAATACCTATTTTATACAGGCAACCATTTTTCAAAAAAAAAAAAAACTTAATATTTTAAAAAAATAAAATGTCAAAAAAATAAAAAACCAAGCAAGCCAACAGAAAATAGATCCATATCTAAACAACTTTTACTAGTAAAAATATTTAAAAATATTTAATATAATGAAAACTTTACTTGTTATAATGCATAAAAAACATTTCAATATAACTTACAAACAAAAGTTATAAAATTAAGATACCATGCAATAAAAGCTTTATATCTAATGTTCTTAATTAATTTAAAAAAATTCAATAATTAACAAAATATAATAGTTATTTGTTTCTTTAAAAAAGTGAAAAAAAAATCAATTACTCTTGACAACTTAACATTAATTATACAAATACTAGCATTAAACAAAATTAATTTATTTAATGTAATACCACTCATCAATTATTTATTAAAAAAGTATATAATTCAACTAATCAATCAAATTTATATAACTTTTATCTTCAGCTATAAAGCAATATATAATTTATTCAGTATATAAATAGTATACTTTTTTTAAATCTCATTTTGTTAGAAGTTAATATTTCAATAATAAAATAGATAATTTATTTTTTGTCAAATTATATTACTTTGATAAATTATATTGTTTTGATAAATTATATTATTTTGACAAATTATATTACCTTGCCAAATATATATATAGTTTTCTCCAATAAATAAATGGTCACTTAAGAATTATTATAATTAAACAAAAATAGTTATTATATAACAAATCTTTTATTTTATTAATAAAAACTATTTTCATATATTAAATAAACTTGTTTCTTATAATGAATTCTATATATGGTGAATTTTTATTATTATATTTAGTAATTTTTTTCTAAACAAAAAATTTTTAATTTCTTTGTTAAAATTTTAACACCTATATAATTTTTATAACCACTATTTTTACAAGTAATTTTATATTAATAAATTTAGTTTGCCATATATTGAAGTATTTAAATATTAAGTTTTATAAATTTTTATCTAGTATTTAAATTTTTATTTGATAAAATGTAAAAAAATTTTAAATTTAATAAAAAAACTCTTTTCCACTCCCTCCAAACACTTAAAAATTTTCTTTTTAGAAAACTTTTGAGTTGTTTACTTCTTTCTTTACTTTCTTCCATTTTTCAGTCTCTTGCCTTTCCCTATTTTTCTTCTCCTCCTCTTTATTCTTTTCCTTTGTTCTATAAACTCTTCTTTTCAAACTATCTCTTCCCTCTTCTGTTTTTTGCTTTTCTTGTTAAAGTTAGGTTTTCTCTTCTCCTTGAAGGTTTTTTCTTTCTAGATCTCTCTTTTTTTTCTGAAACACTATCTCATTTAATCACTTATTTAATCACTCTTTTGACTAATAGACTTTTCTTTTTTCTTACTATTAAGAAGTGATAACTTTTCTCAAAATGTAGGCTTTGGAAAATTTTTTTCTTTTATGGAGAAGTAGAATAATGGGCTTTTTAGGTACACGACTGGTGTTTTTTTGATAAGGGGTTTTTTTACTATTTTGGATTGATTCTATATATAAGTTGTTTTTCATTTTTTAATACAAACGATGTATTTTTTTTGATACACTTCGAAGAGAGTATTTTTTTTTTCTGGCCTCACTTAAGTAACAAACATTTTTCTTTTTAATCGTAATATAAATAATGTGAATTAGCTTTTTTGACACAGCAAGGTATTAAAAGTTTTCTGTTCTGAAGGAGCATAGTGACTCCAGATATGAAGTGAAGCATGGTTATTTATTAGTGAGCAATATGATTAAAATTTTAGGTACATGGCTAGTGTATTTTTTTTTTGCCTATTACTCGAAATTCTTGAAAAATTTAGAATACAAGACATTTTTGAGTAATGTGGATATGTAGCGGAGTAATTTTTACTTATTTTGTTTACAAAAAAAGTTATCTGTCCCAGAGGAACATAGTATGAATGGGAAAGGTATAATGAGGGATGGACGCATAACGTGATTCACGCGTCATGTGTCTAAAATCCAGATATGTGATGTTGAAAATGGAGTAGTTTAGACGATAGTTTATTAGTAAGCTTAAAAAGTCTAAATCCATGACATCAGCAATAGTCTATTATAGCATAGCATTAGGCTATAAAAGAACAATGTACTCATATAAAAGAAGAGAGTAAAAAACGAACTGAAAAATAAAACAAGAAAAAAACTGAATACTCAAAAGTATCGCGCTCTATAGTGAGACAACTAATTAAAAATTGCTAAATTAGTAGTGCGATCGATGACACCAAAGAAAAGAATTTCCAATTAATAAACTTACTTCATTTAGTATCACTAGCTTGGAAAGAGAATAATCTGAAGGGCCGCGAAGGAACAGTGGCAAAAAATTATCAGTAAAAGTACAAGGGCGAGGAACAAGAGGAACATTAGTTAAAAGAAAATCTGGCCAAGTCAAATCACACGCCTCGACTAAAGAAACCTACCCATCTGAATGTTATGTGAGTGCTGGTCCAAGAAGTGACAGACTCGCCAAAAATCACGTTCACAATAGCGACTTCGGATGCATAGCATAGTAGAGCATAGTTATTTAATAGTTAGCAATATGATTAAAATTTTAGGTACATGACAGTGTTTTTTTTTTCAGGATTTTTTTATAGATTTCAAGCTTTTTACTATGTTCCAGATAAACTTTATAAATCATATTAATAGTATATAAAAATTATATATAACACGCTTGGTGTTTTTTTTGATATCTATTTTTATTATTAATTGATTTTCTATTTCTAAGAAGCACATATCTTTAGGTGTGTATGACGCAGTTGCGGAGTATAGTAAAACATCATTATCTATTTAGTTAACAATTAGCTTTCTGATCTAGAGGAGCATAGCGACTTTGAATACAAAGCATAGCAGAGCATTAGTTATCTGTTTAGTTGTCAATTATAAAACTGCATAACATAATAGCCTTTAGTATATTTTTTATATATTCCAGATCTAGCAGAATTAGGCTTATCACAATCTGAACATAAAACACATTTTTTTGTTCTCCAATGTTTGTGGCATCCTTTAGGACATCGGCATCTACAACTACAAATTTTTCCAGAGTTATGTATATATTCGCATATATATTTATTCCACTTTTCAATATATTTATTTTGCTTTTCAATATATTCACTAAACATTTCGATAAATTTATATAACTGAATTAATTATTTTTAATTTATACAAAAGATTTGGTTATATTAATACAAAACACAGAATACATATAACTATGATTAAAATACTTAAATATTCAGGCTGTGGTCGACTAATATTAATTGGTAAAACTCAAGATCTTAATAAACACATGAATTTAAATGGAAACCTTCATAAAGAACAATGTTTACCGGCTTTGTATTTAATGCAAAACCCAGTTCCAGCTCTACTAGAAAATCAGATATCAGCTCCAGAGGGTGATCTTATTTCATTTAATGAAGATTCACTAACGTATCAGCCAGCCCAGCCGAAGGGAGTAAATGCATCAGCAGTTAACCTTTTAACTGAAGATATTTCAGATATAGAAGCTGAGGCAGGTTCCAGTACTCAAACTTCTATAGAGCAAAAAAAGAAATCAATTTTAATAATAGATGAATTAATAAAAATGGCTATTAAAACTGGAAATAAAAAATAATAAAAAAATTAGATCGAAATCAATTCCTAAAACTGATGAAAAATGGTATAATTTAATGGAAATGGATAATGAAAAAGATTGTGAATCAAGTGATGATGTGGAACATCTAAGCTTTGTTTCTTTAGAATATGATATCGCTGAAGAGGAGCTGGATATTCATTTCAAAAAAAACAAGAATCCATACATTAATAGAAAATCAAAAACAGAAAATTTTAACAAAGGTGAGGATTGTGATTACTATGTATTTGTTCCTAAAGGATATTTTTCTGAAGGTAAGCTATTAGCTTTCTTTGAATCAATTGAGAAAAAAATTGCTAATGTATATAAAAAAGAATTAGGCTTAAAAGAAGAATTAAAAATAAGAATCTTGTTATATGCATATATGAAGAAAATTAAACCAGAAACATTGAACCTATATATAAAACTTTTCCTTTCAAACATGAAACTATGGAGATTATTAGAGAAGATCGAATTAATGCAACTATAGAAAAAGAATATAACAAAATTATAAACCAGATTGAGGATAAAGCAATATAAGAGTCAGGATGATCATTTGTTTGAGCAGAAGAAGTATTTCTCGAGATAAGTGCATTCAGGCCACTACGTGGTAGTAACTATTTATCTTTACTAGAAGCTTTGGATAAACATCAACTAGGATTAATTAATCTGCAAAATAATGATGATAATGAGTATTTTAAATGGTGTATAAGTGCATATCATATAAGAAAGGAAGTATTAAAAGCTAATAGGAAACCACCACATCTTAATGAAATTCGAAGACTTAAGTGAAATATGAATATTGTTAATTTTAATAATATAAATTTTCCTGTTACACTACATGATATAGATAAATTTGAAGAAAACAATCTTAATTATACTATAAATATATTTAAGCTAGTATATGAAGAAGTATTCGGAAAAATAAAAGTAAATATAGATCCATTACATATCTCTGAAAGAAATTATCAAGTCAAACATATGATAGATTTATTATATTTAACAGAAGATAAAGAGAATTTAAATGATCAAAAAAATACAAATGATATACCAGAAGAATTAAAAACATATTATATATTTATAACAGATTTCAGTCGATTAATGCATAAGTGGAATAACCATCATAATAATAAATATTTCTGTTGAAAATGCTTGCGATTTCCATATAGTAGATTAGATATATTACAAGAACATATTCTTACATGCTCAGGTCCAAGTAATACTTTATAATGTTTAATTCTTCCAGAAGAAGGTAATAATTATGTGAAATCCAAATATATCAAAAATATGTTAATGAACCCTATCTAATTACTATGGATTTAGAAACAAAAGAAATTGAAGCAGAGGAAAAAGATGAAGAAGAAAATACTATAAAAGAAGCAGAGCAGATAGCAGTTTCATATAAATATACTATTCATTGTTCAGATAGAACAACGCAAAAACCTGTGATTAATCGAGAATCCGAAAATATAATAAAAGACTTAATAAAAAATCTTCAAGAAGATCTAAATATTATTTTAGATAAGCTCTGTGATCCTTTTCCATGTGAAAAAATGACACCAAAATTATGGAGGCAATATCAAACAGCAAACAAATGTTGGATATGTGAAAAAAAATTACATGAATCAAGATATAATAAACTTCGAGTATTTGATCCAGAGTCTAAAAAATATTTGGGTGCTTCACATAGAAAATATTACAGAAAAAAACCAATGATTCAATATAAGTTAGATGATGAACAAAAGAAAGTTTATGGCTCATGTAAAAAATGTATGTATTGTAAAACACAATTGCCAGATGAAAGAAAAAATAGGGTACTAAATCATAACCATATCACAGGAAAATTTTGAGGAGCATTACATAATGAATGCAATCTGAAATTATAAATCGATCCAGAAACAATAAAAATTCCAGTTCTATTATGTAATGAGAGTGGCTATGATTTTCATTATTTAATACAAGAAATAGCAAAAGTGACAGATGAAAAAATAGTGCCTATAGCAAATAATTCTGAGCAATATATTACGTTCTCAATTGATTTGCTTTAATTTATTGATAGTTTAAAATTTTCACTATCTGGTTTAGCTAAGATGGCAAAAAATTTACATGATGAAAAGAAAGGCCAAACTAAAATACCAGAGCAACTAGCAAAATGTTTTCCGATTATGTCAAAATTCATCTCACCTCATTTATTATCTTTACTTACACGAAAAGAAATATTCCTATATCAGTAGTTAAATAATAAAACAAAATTTAATAAGACACAGCTCCCACCACGTAAAAATTTTAATAGTGATTTAGATAGATATAATTATTGCAAGCATGGGTGTGAAAATAAAAAATGTGAACATGAAAAATTTTATACCATATCTCAAAAAAATTACGATTTTGCACAAACAGTTTGGTTAGAAACAGATTGCAAGACTTTTGGTGATTATTACAATATTTATCTTAAAACTGATGTACTAATTCTAGCTGATGCATTCGAAGCATTCCGAAAAGCATTATATAACACATTCAAGTTAGATTCAGCAAATTATCTAACAGCTCCAGACTTGACATGGGACGCTTGTATGAAGGTAACTAAAGTAAAACTAGAATTATTTAATGTGTATCAAGGGGATATACATGATTTCTTTACAGCTATGAAAAGAGGAGGCATGTCTTTAGCTAGACGTCGCATAGCTAGAGCAAATATTCCAGGATTAGAAGGATATAATGAAAAAAAAGTGAAAAAATAGTTATTTTATTTGGATGCCAATAATCTTTATGGTTGGGCAATGAGTCAATATTTACTAACTGGAGAATTTAAATGGCTATTAACAAAACCTCTCGATACTAATTCTCTATTAGTGTAAAAAATTTTAACAATAAAAGAAAATTCAAATCAAGAATGTTGTTTGGAAGTTAAGTTATCAATTCCAGAAGAGTTACATCCTAAATTTCGAGATTATCCTATGTATCCAGAATGAAAGAATATATCATATAATTGGTATAGTTCAAAACAAAAAGAATAGGCAGGTAAACATTATTCAAATACAGAAAAACTTATATTAACTTTTCATGATAAAGATCACTACATTATACATTATAGAAATTTATAGCAGTGTATAAGAGAAGGGTACGTTCTAAAAAAAGTATATAGAGTTTTAGGTTTCAAACAATTTTCTTGGATGGAACCCTATATAGCAATGAATACACAATGATGAGCAAAAACAAAAAATGCATTTGAAAAAGATTTTTGAAAGTTAATGAATAACTTTGTATTTGGAAAAACTATGGAAGATGTGAAAAAATGTGTAAATATAGATTTAGTGAGACAAGTAGGAGAAGAATAATGATTACGTAGATTAATTTCAGATCCAACATTTGTTAGTCAAAAAATTTTCTATGGAGCTAATTTGGTGACAGTGCATCGAAGACAAACTAATGTAAAACTAAATAAACCTGAATATGTAAGAGTATGTATTCTTAATCTTTCTAAATATTATATGTATAATTTCTGGTACAGATATCTTAAAAAGAAATATGGAGATCAGGTGAAACTTTTATATACTGATACAGATTCTCTAATCATAGAAATTGAAACAGAAAATATATATCAAGACATAATTGATGATTATAATTTATTTGATTTTAGTGACTATCCAGAAGACTATTGGGTGATTAAAAATTTACTTGAAGATCAATGGATAATTAATAAAGAAGGTAAGCGTGTATTAAAAAATACTAAAGTTATAGGTAAGTGGAAGGATGAAAATAGAGGAGATAGAGCTATTGGCTATGTCAGAGTTAGGGTGAAATGTTATAGTATTATTATAGAAAATCCACAAAAAAATATAATCAAAGCAAAGGGTCTTAAAAAATCTCTTATCAAGAAAGAGCTTATACATAAAATATTTGAAGATTGTGTTTTAAAAGGAAAAGAGGATCAACCACGAACTGCTTAATTCCTTCAAAGTTACAGATATCGAATGTATAGAATAAAGCAAACAAAGAGAAGTGTTAACCTATTAGATACAAAATTATGGATAGATCAAGATGAAATTACAATGCATCTATATGGTGATTATGAAATTCTAACAGAATAGATACAAACTATTCTGCATTGCAGAATACCTCACTAAATTGTTCTACTTATTGCAATGTTTATATATTTTTTATAATCAAATGATAATAAATATAATAATTAAAATAAAAATCTTAGTTAATAAAATTCACATATTTGAGATATCAAATATATAGTATAAGTTATAGCAAAGTAGAAGATAAGTTAAGTGAATATGGGAAAAATTATATTATTAATAATATTAAAACATCAAAAGCATAGTTACAATTTGCAAGATATTATCCACCAAAATATATATGCAAGCGTTTATTAAAATTAGGATATGAAATAAACAATAGAGATTATTGGGAGGATTTTGTATTTCGTATCAAAAATAATTTAACCAGCCATAAGCAAATAAGTAATGACCCTGAATATAGAAATTTTAAAGTTCAACTAGCATTATATAAAAAAAAATGTGCATTATTAATTATTCAGAAGACATATTGTTTATAGAAAAAACAAATATATTCAGCTAAAATAATTCAGCATGCAATAATTAAATGGCTCTATTGACCAGGTGGATTATTTATAAAACAAGCTGAATATCGATATTATCAAGAGGTAAAGTTACTTTCAAAATCAGTTAACAGTTGGAAAATTATTAACCAATCATATTACGGGTGTGATCGACATAAAAGTTCATGAAATTGTGGCCATCTTTTCCATCAGATTTGTCTTGAAAAACATCTTTTACAATCAGAACCAAGATGTCCAGTTTTTAGGTGTAACAAAGATATTGAAACTTTCCTTTCATCAACTTCAGATCCAATGGAGATATCACCACAAATATTAGCACCATCTTCGCAGAAGGACCATAGTAGTAATAATCAAGATCCTCCATTATTTGAGAGTGGTGCTAATACTGGATCTGTCCAGACTTCACAAAGTAAAAATATCACTTACGAAATAAATACATCACTCAAACGCCCCAACCCATTGGCTTCCGATAATTTGCAGTCTACTAAAAAAGTTAAAAAGAGTGACGAGAAGAAGAATTCGAATGTAGCAAAGAAACTTATAGAGGAATTATCTACTGAAACATTCCAGATATCGGAAGTTAGTAAAAAAGTACTGGCAATTTTTATGATTTATATCTTGCAATTTGTAAAGTCGAAGAACAAAGTGAGTATGTGAATCGTCTCGTGGTTAAGTCTTACTACAATCTCGGTAAAGCGATTGAGGAGAGATATAAATATTATAAAAAAAGTAATCCAAAACATACGGCCTAGGCATTAGTCAATAAATAAGTTAGGCAACAACTTCCCAGCTTGGTTAGTAAGACCCTACTACGAAAGAGAAAAGAAAGAGCTTAGAAAATCTACGATTTATTTAGTGAAATTGGTGATAGTATGATCCAACAGGTTAAATCTTTTACAGCATCATCAATTTCAAAAATGAGTCAGGATGGTATCGACACTATATTAGTTCATTTTTCTCAGCACCAAAAGCCGTAATTTATGTATTACTGCGCCACGGTCACGTGACCTTGGGTCACATTCTATGTAATAAATTTCATTGCTCATATCTACGTACATGTATATGATCGAGAATTTTGGCGACTGAAAAGTGACCGACAAATAAAATTCCATATTTGATTAACAGACACATGGTGCTATGCCTCTTCTCATTCTTATTACACAATAGTTCTATGGTTATGTGTTTACGTGTTCTTTAACCCATTACAATGTCTTTCGAGAAAGGTAGATTCCAACATATATCTATGAGCTCTGGCTTTCTTGCTTATCTTAATAACTCTGCTTGCTATGAACAGAATCAGAACATATTTCGAGGAAACACGTCCTGCAAAATTATCCTATAATAATTTCTTGTATAGAAATAAAATGTTAATATCTGAACAATTTAACAATGAACCATGGTCAGTCCAAAACGCCATATGGAAGAAACGACTCATGTTAATTGCGCAAGAATTGATATTAGACAAAACGCTTATCGAAAAGGTTATGTATATAATGTAAAGAAAGTGTGGGTGACGTTCCTGCAAGAGGCGTGGGAACTCCAGCGGGTGACGTTCCCGTAAGGATACAGTGTATCCATGGAGCATGGGGTAACGTTCCCCGCCCTCGTCTTGAGTGTAGGGTAGATTTTGAAGGAGCTTCGGCGAGTGACGTTCTCGTGATAATACACGGAGTATGGGGTGACGTTCCCCACCTTCCATCGCCCTACGCTGTCAATGACTTTATGAAATAGATTCTTATGGTATTTTTTTGTTTTTTTTATTGCAGTTAAAAAATGAAAAAGCGAGCAGAGTTTTGTGGATGCAAATCGAGAATATGCAAAGCTCAGAATTGATTGAGGAGAAACGGGTAAGGAAAATTAGTTGTTTCGTTTATGAAGAATTTGACTAACGACTCATTTATTTCTGTTAATAGAATAGAGTCAAACGAAAGGTCGATTTATGTTCGGTCGACATTTTTGATAAGTCTACAACCAATCAAGGAAACGAAATTATGAATCTTTATGATGTTGATAATCCGAAAAAGAAATTAAAGGTACAGCCAAGGACTTTCTCATCAACACTACTCACCCTCAAGTGCAGATTCAGTCTAATAGCAATGATGACGATTTTTTTGATGGTTTATACATCGATAACGAAAGCGAGGATGCATCAACTGAAATTCAACATCTCCCCATTGAAAGTGAGGAGGTATCAGCCGAAATTCAGCACCTTATCACAAAGATGGAAAATATGAATCATCGTCTCTTCGAATATCATATTGTCAATCTCCGAAAAAAATCTTGTTGACCCAGTAAATAAAGTTTTTTCAAACTATGATAGAGAAAGAATGAGAAAATATTGGAGAGAAGTATGTATTCCGTACATTAGCTATCAGCTTTTTAGATTGTAATCGGTAATAATCTTAGATGTTCTTTAGATGGAGCCATCAGCCGAAGAGAAACAGAATACAACACGTCGATCAAAATGGGAAGACTATTAAGCCTCTGATTAATAAGTATGCATTTGCCATTGAAGTAAAGCCGGAGTCAATTTTTGATGACGATGCTTGGCCATTATCAACAAGAGTTATTTTTGATAATCCATTTGAGGGCGAGTTTGACTTTAAAAAGCATTATGAGCTTTTATGGGTGCGGGATATCTATCAGCGATTGTAAGTATAACTTGTTACTTAATATATCGCAACACAGTCAATTAATTTCATATGATCCTTTAGTATGTTTCTATTCGCCTCATCTTTCAACATACTTCGTGATGCAAATACATTGGAAATAGCTTACAGAGATTCATTCGTTAATCCTATAATTCCGAAGGCATTTGATGATATGAACAATAATATTATGTTCCAAATGTATGTTATTATACTGTACATGTATGTAGTTTCGTTTATACCTAATATAATAAATCTTTATAATATTTGTCTAGTGGAGAAATAGAGAGTGCTTTACGTAAGCAACATCGAAATCAAACAAATGGCCAAAAGCCTCGTGTAAGTCTTGGGTCAAAACATGACGGGATTTTAAAGATTTATATGAACGCAATTGAGATTGAGATTGGGTTTTTGGAAGTGGTGGGAAATGCAATGAATGTGGATCTTACTGGATACTATGAAGATATGGAAAAACTGTTCAAAGGTTTGCAATTGTCAGATATTCTTGCCTCGAAGAATTTATGCAGTAAAGCTCAGAGTCTATTTATCTTTGTAGTGATGCAGTTGTCAATTTTTTACCAACGTCAGCACCACTTAGAACGCAACGCAACAGAAGAACAACTCCTATATCTTCAAAGCTTTGGTGTACTTGTGTACCGTATGTAACATATATTTGTGTGGCAGTTACCGATCCAATTGTTCGTCATATTTTGCTTTATCATTTTAGAGCGTGAGACGATAATATATACAATTCATCGTGTTAAAGGAGGGTTACATGTTGTAGACATCATCACAAAGTTTACAATCCCGGATAACAAGGATCAAGTGTATGTGATAGATGAAATTATAGAGAAAGTATATTTTTTTAAGGTATGAATTCCGGTAATTGTTTTTTATGGTATGATTGTTGAGATACATGTATATCTAACTTTATGCTTATATTATAGAGCCGAATTATGGACTACTACTTAAAGTTGCAAAAAATATCACGTAAAGCAAAGAAATATTCTCCATCAGACGAAAATCCATTGGAAGCATCACCATCCAAAAGAGCAACAACAAGGCAGTAATACAAGCATTTTAGAACCCTAATATATAGGTATGTGTAAGTTACCCCCGACAATTCGAAGCTTCACTTCTCATGGTCGGTTTTATGCTAGTTTACTGTGATAATTATCTATATGTTTTTTTTCGAACTTGAAAGAAAAAAGGGCTGAAGTATTCCATGATAAGGCCTAATATATATATCTCTTTCATTAAAAGGTGTAAAGAGAGGTTTACTGGCACGATACAAAAAATAATGCTTCCTGACGAGTTATAGAGAAAATAATTAGATAGATTTAGCAGTTACAAATATGTAAATATTTCATCACGAGTTGTATTGCATTATTTTTTCAATGTAGATTCGAAGAGTCATTGCTCAGCAATAAATATATCAAAGATCATGGGTTAAATAAAGATTTTCGTTTGTAAATATATCAATCGCCTATTGTGAGTATAGAAAACTGATAATGTACTTATGTATAGTCGTGATTATTTTTTTTTCTTGGAAAAAGTGATCGGCGTTTCAAACTGTAACGCACATGTAATTGAATGTATTGTATTTTATATAAAAAATGGCAAACTCGCAATCCAAAATCGATGAGTTGAGAGAATTAAATTCCAAGCTCTTGGCTGAGATTTCTGAACTTAGAAAGGAGAATACTATGCTCTTGGATAAGGAAGCAGGGCTCATGGCTAGAATCATGGAGCTAGAACAAAATGCCGAAAAAGCGAAATTAAGAGATACCGAGCTCAATGCTAGAATCATGGAACTAGAACGGTCAACAAAAGAAAGTGAGAAACGATTTGCAAAATTGGAGCAGACCCAGGTTATCACTAATAAACAGGAAGTATCCCCCGCAAAAGATATTTTACCACCTATCTCAAATCAGTCCGGTAAAGATAATGGTATTATTCTTGACCCCATGCCTGAATTAGTACAATCTTCAATGGAGCCTGAACTATCCACAACCTCTTTATCACAAGACATTATTAATGACGATTCAGCTGAGATTCTTGAATTTGTAGAAACGATACGTAGAGAAAAGATTAGTAATGAAATAAGAGAAAGAAACCGAGAAAAAAAGCTTCAAGAAGAGTCAAAGACTCGTTGCAAAACATCCTCAGCTATTCAAGACCTATCATACGGTAGTACAGAAACCATCCTCTCAAAAAATGATCAAGATGGAAATCTATGTGATATGAAAACCGTTCCCTTGGGGAACGATCGAGATGTAAATTTATCATATGGTACAAAGACTATTAGTTCGGAAAACGATCAAACTGAATTAGAGCAAGGTGTCAAGTGTGATAAAAATGAAATCGTAGAGCAGGGTTTAATAGAAGAATTGCATTTATCTACTGATAAGCAGTGCCTCATTGATTCTGCCATTGATTCTGCTATAGATAATACCAACTCTACAGAGAATAAAGGCCCAGCTCAACATCTATCTTATTTATTTAAAACGGCAATCAAATCTCGACAACAGGAAATCTTAAACTGGTATTATTATTCCCTTGAATTCGAAAACAGGGTTCATGTTATTACAGCTGATGGTAAGATCAAAGACAAAACAGCAAGAACGATGATTTATAAAGAAATGAAACCGTTTCTTCCTAATATCACTCAAGATAACTTGCGTAAAAAAACTCTTAGAGCTAGAAAGCTTCTTATGCTATTTGGGGAAAATGGAATTGGAATTGATAAAATTAAGCTAACCACATATAGCGCAAATGAGATTTCAAAATTGACTAATGCACAAATTCGGAATATTATAGATCAGGTGAATTCAAAAACCGTTCCCTTGGGGAATAATCAAACCAAGAAAACTTTGTCCAAAATAGAGGTAAATACTACAACCACTCCCTCTATCTCATTGTCCCATACCTCTAATTCAGAAAATGAGATAAATGAAGATAAATCTTTACCCAAAACTGAGGTAAGTACATCATCTGCATCTCAATTAAATCCATTTCATGATCATGCTTATTTCCGTGATAAGATATTGTGGAGATATTCTGATCTATATAAAGAATTTAGTAGTGAAAAATTTTATTATTATGGAATTCATGAGGGGTCATTATGTCTGGCATGTAAGTCGAGTCATAAAGATGAGAAGAGTATAAGAGGTAGATATGAAGCTGGATCCTATTTTATTAAATGTGGGGGGCATGAAATTGAGATCACAGTATAAGTAAATAATTACATAAACTTGGATAAGTAGATAGTGATATTTTTTTTTCTTGACAGCTACGTGATTTTGAATTGACTTGTATTAATATAAAATGATAACATGTCTTCTGATACTATCTCTAGCAAGATATTAACTAATGACTATTGCAAATGGTATGCTAATTTAATTGATTTACCAAGTTCTCAGACAGATAAAATCTATTCTAGATTATATAAAGTGTATATGGAAGAGACTGGACTCAATCCTTGGATAAAGCCTGAAACTTCTGAATTGTCACAAATCAGTGAAATTAGCAGGACCAAAAATGATGCTGATAATCATTCACGAGACTCTATTATTAAGATTTATAAGTTTCCAGAAGAGAAAGGTATAATCCATAAAACAGTACATAAACGTTTCCCTTTCCTATCTTACACTAATTCGAATGCATAGCATCGAGATGTATTTAAATATACCGATTCAGAAGCCAAATACCCAGTATGCAATAAGGTACATACATGTCGAGGTATATGGGATGATTGGAGCTGTCTCGGTAAAGATGATCACTATTTTCTTAATTGTCCATTTCGTATCGATCAAAAGAAAGTTATAATCGCTATACAGAGTTTGCTGGAAATTCAAGTAAGGGTACTAAACAAAACCTGCCTTTATTAACCAGAGGTTAGCTTACGCCAATATACCATCGAACATGGAATAGATTCCGAAAAATTTTCGGTCATTACTGAGGCCGAGAAAAAAAGATGAAATGGAGAATGTTTTCGTGGAGATTTGGAAAGAGATATACGTTTCTATAAAGGTGGGATAAATAGGAAAGAAGACACTAGAAAATATCATAAATTTTTAACAGATCGGGAGAGGCTGGTCGGTGAAGAGTTATTGCGTCAAGGTATACTAAAAAGTGGTTTGAGTACTGCATAGCTCGATAATCTTATGAAAGAATGGGAAAAAAACCATGCTCAATTCACACAGATATCTTTTGAGGAAAAGACTTTATTTGTACCACGGTAAATGTTCAATCTACGCCATCTAAACAACAATTCCCAATTTCTGTAGTTTGGCCATATGACAATGGTGGCCATTTTTTTGTTATACGGTCAACTCTCGATAAAAGAAACTATGTACAAATAGTCTATATATGCTGATGATCGTAGCATTAATTGAAAGTAGTTATGATCATCAAAAATTTTCCGGGTCCCGGTTTACTCGATATAAGAAAATCTGATACACGGTGGGTTTTCGAAAAAATCCGAAATTTTTTTAAACGTAAAAAGTTACTACATAATAAACTTTTTATTTTATTATGTATATATGGTTTTGTGTATTAAGTAAGTATAATCTAGACAACTAATTACATATACAGTAAAAGTTTTGTTAATTTTTAACAACATTTTATTATTAGCTTTAAGGGTTTACATTTCGTATAGCAATTTTTTTAATTTTGTTTCTAGTTTTAATATTTTTAATATTTTTAAAACTAGTGTTTTAATAAATAATATACAATTAATAAATATTGTTTATTATGTTTTAAATTACTTGTGTATTGAATTTTATAAATTTATATTAAATATTTAGATAATTATTTAATAAATAAAATTGTTATTAATAAAAAATCAAATTTCAAAATTTTTGTCATTAATTTATAATCATAATTTTTTTATAAAATTTATATTTTACTATGTAAACTGATCTTAAAATATTAAGTAAACTTATTTATTATAATGAATTACATTGAAAACAAATATATTTTTTAATTTTTATGAAACCATTATATTATAATATATAATTTTTAAATAAATACAAATTATCTAATTAAATGATAAATACTTATCTATCTTTAGTAAAAATTTTACTGAATATAATATTTGTTATTACAAATATATTTATTTAATTGAACACAGTTAGTTTTATAGTAAAATTAAAAGTTTTTTGTGAAAATATATTCACAAATCAATTATAAACATAATTGTTTTTAAAATGACTATATATTTATAACCTATATATAATAATTGGTTTGTTTATTTAATTTATATAAATAAGTATACATATAATATAATATATATAAAATGTTTAATCTAAAATAAAAAAAATCTAAGATTTATAATTCTTTAAAATTTTTTCTTGCATTGAAATAAGAATATCCATACAATTATCATCCAAATCTAATTCAGAATCTTGTTCAATAAATTTTAAAAGAGTATCAATACATTTAATTGCTATATCTGGCTTGACTTTTTTCTGTTGTACTGAATTGATAATATCCTCATTTGTAATATCCTCATTTGTAATATTTAAATCTACTAATAAATCATCAATTTCAATATAATCATTTATATTAATAATATCATTATGATTATATGGTAATTGATTAATCATTTCTTCTATTTCTTCTAAATTTTGTTGCTGGAATGGAATCATTTCTCCAGTAACAGTACTATCAGAAGCAGGAGT